GTAGAGCTAAAATATGCCCTGCATCCATTCTTTGTGAATATTCCATAACTTCTTTTTTTCTCATAGTCAAAAGAAATAATTATAAGGAATCTGTGACTGACCTGGGTGATCAGATTCAGACTCTCATTTTGAGTCATTTTTAGATTTTGAATCAAGTATGACTTTAAGGAAATACTGTGAACATTTTATATATATAAGGTTGGAGGGAAGCACAAATGGTCACCTGGAATATATGGGTTGGTGAGATGAATACTTTGAACCCATAATTATTTCATTAAGGAACCATTGTGACATTTTTAAGTCAGTGTGGGAAGTGGTTGTTCACCCAGATTTCACAGGACAGTGGTACCCCCCACCCCAATCACTAACCATCCAAGACTTGGCCCTTAGCCTTGGAGATGCCAAAAACTGCAAATTTTCCCACATTGGCTGGATTAATCCTCGAATGAGATGTTTATAGCTAACTGTATGTTGCGTCTCTAGCACCATCTACTGGCAACAGAAGTGCCTTGGTTAGCAGACCTGGGCTGAAAGAGCATCAGGAACCCAGCTCAGGTGGCAGAGGTAGGAGAAAAGAGGAAACCAAAGAGGTTCGGAACAGATTCTGTCTAAAAAACAGGATTATATTATAGCCAATATTACACTGAAGTTACTTACATATAAAACATAAAGTTTCTAAACTATCAGAAACACAAAAGCAAACACCATATAATAATCAGATATTTTACAGTAACAACTAGATTTCCTGAGCACTTAAATGACAGAACTAAGAATTAGAACATATGTATGTCATATTCATGCCATAAGATGCCGCTGTCACAGTTTCAGATTGAATGACAATGCAAAATGCAATGGAATGCTTTGTGGCTCAAAATTGTTGAAACCAAATGATTCAAAATAGCTGAAAATAGGAGAATGCAAAAGGAAGCCAGGTAAATGAAAGCCAAAGTAGAAACAACTGTTTCTTAACAAGAAAATCTTAACAGTAATTAGGCCATTCTCAGGACAGAAAGCACTAAATTATATAGGGGGAGACACCTTGAAACATAAAGCACAAAATGTATGATATGTCATTTCACACACATACAAGTAAGACCACAAAGAAAGCCACAAGCAATTTCAGAAAATGTACATAAATGTTTGACAATATATGCAATAAAATAATGACTACAAATAGTTTAACTCAATAAAAGAAAAGCCAAACTAGGAATATCTAAGTAATGAAGAATGAAAACTCCTACATGTTGCTCAGAAGAAAATTTCAGTATAAAATATAAAATGTTGCTCATTAGAAAATTTCAGTTACAGATACTTAACATTAATTTTTTTAATGTAAAAATAAATGAGTCCCTCTAGCCCAAGATATTTGAAAAAGAGTAGTGAGATCCAAGAGAACAAAAGAAATTAATAAAAATAATAGTAGAACATTTTAACAGAGGAGGGGAAATCCAAGAACTGTTTCACTGAAGGGAAAAAAAGCTTTTGCTAACTTATTCAATATACAAAATTTGAAATGAACACCAGAGAAATAACCAGACAAATAAAATGGAAAGGGTCATAAGTTATTTCTTTGTTCAACTCTTTATGAATAAATGTGATAGTAATATAGATAAAATGGGTATTTTTCTAGGGAAATATATTTGCAGTTGTGACCCTCAACAAGAAATTTTAAATGGATAGATTATAGAAAAAGTCAAGGAAAATGAGTATGTGTAGTTATCTAATGAAATACATAGGAGTAAATTCCACAAAACCTCCACGATGCTCGGTGCGTAAAGATTGGAGGACACAGATGGCCTATTTATGGTGTGAGGGGAAACACTGAGACATCCTTTTAAGGTCTCTGGAAAGTTGCATTAAAAACAGTG